ACAACATCATAATCCGAATATCATCCAAAATACTATAAATTGCCTTGAATCTAGCTTCAAGAATTGATGCATTGAATGATTCTGACATGTTGTTGTCAACTGAATCACATTTTACCTCAGTTGAGAAGTATGCACGTGACCAATGTTTTGGATCAATTGAAACCAATGCTTTGGCTGCTTCCTCATTCTGTGCTGACAACTTCTCATATGCTCAGATAAAAAATGATGGCGATGCCTTAGCACATTCCCAAAAGGTTGATTGCCACTCTCTGTTTCTATACTTCTTCCTCCAGTTACTCCAAATATGCCTAGCACATAGCCGATGTTCTACGTTGGGGAAAAGATATGCTATTGCTGGCACAAGCCCCTGCACGTTTAATTATCAAAAAACAAATCCATCAAATGTCAATAATATACCTTCACTTGATTGTTCATTTTTAAAGGGTAAAGTAAAAATAAATAAACATACCTTCATTTGATCGGAACTGAAGCACCAACCAGCTCCATTATTAATACACAAATCATCTCTAAGCTCCTTCAGGAACTAATCCCACGAATTCCGTGACTCAACCTCAACAACTGCCCATGCAATAGGATACATTTGATCATTTGCATCCCTTCCGATTGCAGCAAGCAATTCCCCCTTGCACAAGCCCTTTAAAAAGGAACCATCTAACGCAATCATCTTTCTACATCCATCTAAGAAACCCTTTTTCATGGAACCAAAGCAAATGTACATTCTTTGGAATTTTGGTTTATTTTCTGGGTTGTTCCTATTCACCATGATACGCGCACAGTTGAGCCAGCATTCGCTTTCCTCATCTCCTTAGCATAAGTCCACAATATTGCATACTCATCTCTGAAGCATCCTTCAGTCAAGTGCAAAACCATTCTCTTTGCTCATGGGCACTTGTTTCTATCCACAATAAACCCAATTTCTTCTCTAACAGTCTCCATCATGTCCTTTAGCTTCCATCTTGGTTCTGCTCTTATCCTCCTATGGTATTTCTGTGCTATCACAGCTGGAGTCATCTTCCTACACTTAAAATGCACCCCACATCTATGCATCTTTAGTGTTTTCATTTGGAAGGCATTGGCTTGTTTACTCCATGAAACAAGAAGGGCAAACGGGCAGTTAGGGTAGCTGCAAACCATTATAACCCTTCCAGGATCACTCTTCTTAACCCTTAAATCTTTCTTGAATGACAAACAATATTTGTCGATTGCTTCCCTAGCTTCATTCATCCCATTAAAGATCATGCCTACCTCGAAGTAAGGGGTGGGTAGATTCGGATTGTACTTAGCAAAACGACTTTTCATACGCAACCCATGATCCGCCATTCCATCTTCATTGCTTGCTTCATCTTCGCTCCCAATGTCATCAGAATCAAATGCATCTTCCTCTTCTGCAATTTGTTGTTTTCTTCTCTCGAACTCTTCATCTGAGTGATATGTTATAGGTACCCCTCTCTTCAGGTTTTCCTTAGCTATCTTTAGTTCGGTAGCAATTTTCTCACGATCTTCAACATCCTCATCGCTAACCCACTCCTGGTGTACCTCAAACTCTCTATCAGAATCACCATTTTATCATTAATCCACACACCCTCTTCGAATGTAGTTGTTGTCAGGCCATCTACATCATCCTCTACTCCATTAGGATCTTCAGCAACTACTGGGTTTTCAACCTCCTATAAATCATAGAGTTTCACACATCACAATTTGGGACCAAGAAAGAAAGGTAAAAAAACCATCATGTATACATATTTCCCAAACTGTAGGATCTATCCTATACATGTTTAATCTGCCATTATCTAAAAATTTCACAGGAAGCAAATAAACACTAACCTAAGCTAAACAACAAGAAACATCAAGTTACCTTTTCAGAATCAGGCACCATGTGTCTAATGTACACATGATATTAATTCTTGTCTTTGAATTGCTCTAGAAACTCCCGAACAGCTGTATCATCGTACAGTAGTCTCCAACCATCTACACCTTCACCATTAAACTTTATGAAGTACATTTGGAAATCATCCATATACTTTCCTTCATTTTTTAACATTTTCTTCATATCCCAAATGCAAATCAGGTCAGGATCTATATCACAATAGGATAATTCTTCTCCTCCTTCATATAGAGCGGACCAATCCTGATTGACTCGCCGATTTGTCGTCTGCTGCTTGTGATTGGAATATTGGAATTTCAGGTTGGGAACTTGGGGTTCAGTTGATGAGTTGGGAATCAAGTTACAAGCGTCGCCGTTGTTGGTGGACGACAGCTAGATGCAGCGACGCCGAGAATAGAGACTAGCTGTGGAGAATGGAGAATAGGTATTCGAAGCGGCACAGGGTCGGCAACCAGTACGAAGGAAAAGAGGAGAGGAAGTCGATGTGGACGCAAATCACTCGGAGGGAAGTAACCAAACGGAGGGGCAAATTGGACTTTTCATGTCCTATTTTCACGAATTCAAACCGGTCGAACTGGGATTAACGGCACCCAGATGGAAATATTAACGGACGGGTAGATTTGATATTGTGGCGATAGTAGGAGGGCAAGTTTGACGTAAAACATAGTAGAAGGGAAGGTTTGAGAAAAAACCATAATAGAGGGGCAATTTATGCTATTAACCCAGATGAAATTCCATATCCAAGAGGGAATAGTAGTGTTGCTTGGGTGTGGGAATGAGATTAATGGCTAAAAAATGTGTATTTCTATTTAGTAGTGATTTTGGATAGTATTCGTAGTGATTTTATATGTATTGGTAGTCATTTTGTTGTAATTAGCAGTGAGATTCGGTAACTACTCGTAATATATTGTATAGTTATAATAATATTTTTTTAATTTGCAGTATATTCTTCATTTATAGTTGTGTTATTTCTAAAAATCATCAATTATTACTAATTAAAAATGTTACTAATGAAAATAAAATCACTATGGACAGTTAAAAAAATAACTACACCATCTTAGTTAAATTCCTACTACTTTAAGTAGTAGTAGCTATCGGTAGTATTTTTTCAACGTAAAAATTTACATGACAAATATGCAAAATATTTTTAAAATTTAATTAATTAAATTTTCTAAAATACCAAACACACCCTTCATTGCTATCCACCATTAAATTTATCTTAAAAAAATAAACGATTTTTTTTTATCGGAACCTGTAGTTAAAAAAATAAACGATAATGAGAGTGGTTAGCACTAACTCTAACTCCTCCCTAAATTCCGTAATTAAAGAATCCTCTTTCTCCTACCTCTCACTCGAATATATATATAAGAAGTGAATACAAAGGGTAAAAACAAAAACAGTGAAAGATCAGAAAAAAACCTCACTTTATTAGTTTATATTTACCCCCGCTGGAAAAAAGAATGCGCCGGTACGGTGCCGACGATGACAATTTCGCCGAACTCATCTACATCAGCAGCGACGACGAACTAAACGCCTCAGAATCCGACGATCAGGCCGAATTCGACAGCGACAATGCCGTAGACGATCTCCTTGACGAGTCCGAAACCGGTCTGCCGCCACAGTTGTCTTACTCCGTCTTGAAAGAATCCGAAATCCGCCGCCGCATCGACGAAGACGCCGGCCATCTCTCCGCCATGCTCTGCCTCCCGAAATACGAAACAACCCTAATCCTCCGCCACTTCAATTGGGACGCGAGCAAGGTCTCCGACTCGTGGTTCGCCGACGAATTCGCAGTCCGCCGCCAGGTCGGCCTCTCAACGGCACCTCAAAAGGTAACCCTCCCTCCTCCGTCCGATCGCTGCAGTCTCACCTGCACGATCTGTTTCGAACAGCACCGTCTCACCTCCTTCCACTCCGCGGACTGCGGCCACCGCTTCTGCCGCTGGTGCTGGCGAAAATACATCGCGCAGTGCGTCGTCGACGGCCCCCGCTGCCTGCAATTGAGATGCCCTGAGCCTTCCTGCAAAATTCTCGTAGGTGACGATCTAATCGACCAAATTGCCGACGAGAAGGTGCGGAAAAGTTATTCAAATTTTGCCCTTAGGTCTTATGTAGAGAACAGCAGTAAAAGGAAATGGTGTCCTGCCCCCAATTGCGAATACGCAGTGGAATTCAATTCAATTGGGGAAGGAGACTACAATGTTTCCTGCCTCTGCTCGCACAGCTTCTGCTGGAACTGCGCCGAGGACAAGCACTCGCCCGTGGACTGCGAGACAGTGAAGAACTGGTCACTGAAGAACGCAGCCGACTCGCAGAATGAGTTGTGGAAGAAGGTGAACACGAAGCCCTGCCCGAAATGCAGCAGATCGATCGAGAAGAACGCTGGGTGTATGCACATGAGATGTGCAGCTCCATGCCTGCACGAATTCTGCTGGGTGTGCCTGGAATCATGGTTTGGCCACTCGTATTCGTGCAATAAGTACAAGGAAGATGGTGATCCTGCTGTATTGAAGTCATTGGGGGAAGAATTGAAGAGGTACCAGCACTACTACGAACGGTGGGCAGCAAACGAGAAATCGAGGCAAATTGCGGTGAGAGATTTGGAGGATGTGAGGGAGAATGTGGTTTCGAAGATTGAGATTATTCACGGTGAGAATCCGATCCAGCTGGTGTTCTTGACTGAAGCTTGGGAGCAGATTGTGGAGTGCAGAAGGGTCCTGAAGTGGACTTTTGCCTACGGCTACTACTTGCCCACTGGAGAAGCCGCAAAGAAGCAGTTCTTCGAGTACTTGCAAGGGCAGGCCGACACTTGTTTGGAGAGACTTCATGATTGTGCAGAGAAGGAAATGAGGAAGTTTGTGGCTCAAGAAAGCTGCACGAAAGAGTACCGTGCTTTTCAGGTGAAGCTGATTGATCTGACGAAGCTGTGCAGGACTTACTTCGAGAATTTGGTTCGAGCGCTGGAGAATGGGTTGTCTGATGTCGAGACCGGTATGAATGCAAAGAGACAGAAGATGAAGAATTGATCAACAAGCGCCATTCCGCTGTATAAAAATAATAAATGATGAGGGTTTGGTATGCCTTTTGTCCCCCTCTCATCTTCTTCAATTTATTGTTATCAGGTTACTATAAGGGTTCAAATTTTGAACATAATTTATGGTTATATACATGTAAAGTACATGCTTTTTGAATTGGTCTTCGTTTAATCTAAAGGGAAAGGGTAAAAATGAATGAACTTTATGGCTATACATAATGTGGGGGATAAAAACTGAGGAATCCCTCGAGTGAGGTAGTTATCGATCTTCACCGCCAGTGTAGAGTTTCGACAGGAGGAATGTGGAAGCTGAAGAAACCAGAACAGCTGCAGCAAAGCAGGCAAGATCGAAGCTGGTAACTAAAGGTACGTTCTTGAACTTCTCGAGTAGGCCGACTTGAAGTATCATCATGACTGCATGGCCGATTTTCGACTTGGCTTGTGAAACAGATTGAGTTTCCACCCATGCTGGAAGGTACTGCAGAGTGCATGCACATATTTTGAACCCATTAGTTAACTACTCAAATTGAGTGTATATATGCGTTAATAGAGAATGGATCTTATTGTTCAAGTGTAAAGTTTATACCTTCAAGTGGAAGAGGCCAAATAAATTGGACTGAGGTAGCCAAGTCTGCTTGTCGTGTTGAGAATCCTTGGAGCCCACAAACATGGCGTGTAAGCCGACACCGAACACTAGCATGGCGGTTCCCACCAAGAACATGTCTGGTTTTACATTTGCCAAAAAAACAAGATCCAAAAGCGGCGTCCGTGTTAGTTAACTTTCATGGGGGATTTTTTTTTACAGGGGTCCCCCTTTCTTTTATGATTTCAGAACTCTTTTTAAGTAACGGGCAAATAAGTAGAATACCTATGGCTTCTATGAGGAGCTTCATCATCTGCCCTTGATCCAAACTTCTAGACAGAGTATGGAAGTAGTGAAAGTAGGACTCCGCCACCAGAAAGCAGCCCTTCAAAACAGGATTTGAATACATAATTCAGTTCCCTTAGCCCAATAAGAAAAAAAGGTCTCTATTTTTTGGGTTTTCTGTGACATACATACCTCCATGAAGCATAGTACAGAGCCAATCAGGGATCCGGCGACAGCCAAGAGAGCGAAGAATCGGCAGTCGAAAATCGCTTTCTCGATTGCCATCTGGATCCGAAACTTCCCCTGTTTCCTCTTCACCTCGGCGGCGGGAGGAGGACTGAGCCTCACCATCATCAACTTGTTAACCAAAGAAGCCAAATCTATGTCGGACCATGGCACGGCCTCGACTTGTGCACTAGCCTGGGAGGTCTGATCAGCCGAGGACGATGCTGCAACAGCCCTAGCTGTCACCGTAGAATCCAACCTCCTCTTCGAACAATTTACGTTGCTAATCGTACCCGAAACTCGATTCTTCGCATCTCCATTGCCACTAGCCCGAACCGAAAAGGAACGATTAGCGGAAGGAGAGGAGAGGTTGTGGAGTGGTCCAGCAGCTTTGGAGGAGGCGCGAAGCAGCCTTGTGGTGGACATTCTTTTGGGTTGGAAATGAAAGGTTATGGGAGGGTTTAAGGGAGGGAGGGAAAGTTTGCTCTTCTTATACAGAGAAGGAATGGAGGGAACGGCGGAGAAGAGAAGAGAACATTCGGCGGCATAATTTGTTCTCTCTCTCCCTGCCTTGTTGGAGAGGTTTCCATTGGTCGAAAGCTTTGACCCTCGTGGCTTTTTTCCTTTTGGTGAAGAATGTCCGTTGTTTGAGTTTGGTGTGAAGACTACTCAAAAACTGAGACGCGTTGCTCTGTGGAACTTCTTCTCAGCCGAACTCGTGTCATGTCCTCGTTTTGTCTTTTGCCCTTTTTCGCGGGCTTTTCAGATTTTTTTCCACTTTTGGCGGTTGGCGTCGTGGCGCGGGAATCGTTTCTGCATCGTTGGTTTGGGGAAGGGTAGTATGGTAAAAGGGCTTAGTTTGGTAAAATTAGTGCTCAATCGGGGAAGGTATTCCCACGTGGGACAAAATAGTGGTCGAGAATGCACGTGCCAATTTTGTTTGGCGGAACAACAAGACAAAACACTACAGAAACAACAGTGGGTGTCTGTCTTTAGTCTTTACTCTTTCGTGGTTGTTTCGTTTCCCCAATCAATCAATCAAAGCAGCTGTTCTCGCTCGGAGCTAATTTCCTTCCATTCCCTCTTACAAATGTGCGGTTAGATTTGCAGGTCAAGAAATTGCTACTCAGTTTCTTTGATTGCAAAACCACTACTTTTCCCGCCAGAAATTTCTGCCGATATTACATTTCAGCATCTGCCACCCTTTCAGCTAAATTGCGAATAAATTGAGCTGGCAATAAAAAAAAAAGCAAAGCATTGAACTTCGATTCTCCAGAAACCCTCTCTACTGATCAATTTCTTGCAACCCAAATTCCTCCAGAAAGAACAAACCAGCAGCGCTGCTAAAAAAACCTAATCTAAATTCGCTAGTTGTAGAGAGACCGAAAATGGGTTTAGCAGACAAATAATCAATAGTTCTCAGCAACAGGCCTAGAAGGAAACAGCCTCATAAGAAACGTGATCAAGGACCAGAGACAAACCACACCAAGGAACTGGAAGGCCACCCCCACTGAAACCAACGCTTTAACTCTTTCGATCAGTTCAGCAGATTCAGGGAGCCCTTGCATTGAGAACAGCAGCCTCTGGATGAATTGAGCAGCTTTGGTCAACTGGAATAGTCTGTATACCTGTTTTCAACATATTACAAGTTGTCAAACTTACAGCAATATGAATGCTTGTTTTTCTCTTCCTTTTTTTTTTTAGATCGATAAACAGCTAATTACCTCGAAAATTATGGGTACTAAAGGCCAACAAGATGAACCTCGCTTCTCCAACCTGACCTCGAACACACGCTGGGCTATGCATCCAGCTAGATATGGGATAACAGAAACAGCAACAGGCACACCAAGTACCGGCCAGGTGACATAAACCATGAGAAGTGGTACTACGACCTTGAACCCCATGGTGAAGAATGCTGAAGTTATATAGCCTCTAAAGCCAGTGAGAAGGCCCCATCTTTTCGAGCTGAATTCCAGGTAAGGCTTCTGCATTCGGTCGGTTATGTGTAGGAAGGTTGCTAAAGCAATGTAGAACACTGCCTCAAACGACAGTGAACTCGCCATTTCTGCAACAAACAAAGTTACGAAAACAATCACTCTGGTATTCAGCTACACAGAGCAAGATAAGCTCAAAAGTGGAGAATGGGGTTTCAATCATTTACCTACAAGAACCACATCCTTCAGGAGTTCCTCGACTGCCAACCCAAGGAAGAATTGGGGGAAGATCAAAGAGGATATCAGCACAACTGGCCCTAAAATCCAGAGGAAAGAGCCTTTCTCCTCCTTAAATGGCGCTGAAACCAGTTTCCCTTCTTCTACTGATTGGTGAGTCAATCCACAGAACGATACAGAACCCGATTTACCGCGAAACGGCTCAAACCCACCGTTGAAGCTTCCAATAGCAGGCAGCCCAGAACCTTCCTTCTCCGAGAGCTTCAAATTAACTTCCGCATGATGACTAGAACTAGAAGCACGTAATAAAATTCCTCTGTTCAAGCTACGCAATTCAATTCCCCTAAATACATTCTTCGAACCGGCTGAAAACAGAGCGAGAAAGTAAAATGATGAGTTTCATAGAACATTTTACCAAAGAAACCCCAAAATCTAAGCATAACCTACAGTTCGAGACGGTGCCCAGTTGAGATCTCCCATATCTGGCCCCAAATTGAATGGAAGAAGAACCCTAGAAATGGAAGATTAGAATCCGTCAATAGAAAGAACGAGGATTTTATCATTTCTTCGATTTTGAAAGGCAGAATCAGCAGCAACGTACTCACAATTCGACGAGTCGAGTGGTGGCGAATATGGAACCGGAGCTTGGGAAAGGAAATTCCGCCACAAACGGATTGCAATTCCATTTTTTTACCAGGTTGCTCGTTCCCCGAGTTCAGCGACTGAGAAAGCTTAAACCCTGAACCCTGAGTCCCGCTCATTGAATCGGGTCGACGCCCCTGTCAACTGGCTTGTTGGATCCGGAAACGGCCCAAATCTGTACCTACGCTATGGTCAGGCCCAGAGTTCTTTGAACTGTTGCTCTCAGTTCATGGACTGGGGCCATAAACCAGGTCCTCGGGGATCCTAGATTTCATTAACAAGGGATTGGTGTATCTTGTTTTTCTTCTTTTATTTTGGTGTTATTATTTTTAGGATTAATAGATAGCATTTTGTACCCATCTACTATGGTAAATTAACAAACGTATCCATTTACTAAATTTTTGCACAAATTTACTCTTCTAAAATTAAAACTTAACGAATTTACCTTTCCATCCATTTTGCTGTTAATTTGCTGTTAAAGGGGTGTGAAATGAGTCAATTACCTCTCATTTACTCTTAAATATTCCTAATTTTTATTTTCATTATTTTATCTCCCAAATCAATAATTAAATAATGATTAAAAACCTAAACTAATTTACACACACGGTAGAAATCGTTCGTCTTCCCCAAAGCCGCCGTGGGGGCTGGTGTCCTCGTCTTCATCGCCATTGTGTCCGACAGTTGTAGCTCCTTCTCCCAAGGAGCATTGGACGAGATTTGTGCTGGCGATGGTGGTAGTAATACCAACCATCACTATAAAGCTCATATTTTTCCTACTCAACCACCAGAAAGCTCGTCCTCCGCTGCCGCCTCTCGGTATTCCACTCGTCAGACCCCCCGCCGTCGCTATCGGCGATGGATTCGGGAAGCTAGCCGTCGGCTTCTCCCTGGTCCGATAATGGTAGGTTAGCTATTGAGTCTGATGTAGATTCCATCGTCCCTCTAGTAAGTGATTTTTTGAGTGATTTTAGGTAGGGGTGGGAATCCAGTTCCAATTTTCCGAACAAACGCCTCTCCCCATACACTCGCCCTTCCGCACATGAGTACAAAGTTGTTTGGTCGTCTTTCTCGACCAAACCGGACAGTTAAAACCGGCCCGGTTGCAACTGGAAACCGGATTACCATCAACCCAATCCAATTTCCAGTTGTAGTGCACACCACCCCGGTCCAATCCGGTTAAAACCGGAAAAACCGGATAGCCCAAACCAAACTCACACCAGCCCCAAACCAAGCCCACACCAGCCCAAAATCAAGCCCAAAGCAATTGACAGCCAACCCCAAGGCCAGGCCAGGCCCGCAAAGCCCAACCCTAATTCTATCCCCTCCCATTCTCCCCAAATCAACCCCAGTCCCCAGCCAAGCCTCAAATCAACGCCGCCTCTCCTCCTCATTCTCTCCCCTCTCCCATTCTCCTCTGCAACAAAAACACAAAATAGAAAAAGAAGAAGAAGAAACTCCATCCCATCGCAAATCGCCTCTCTACATCCCAGTTAGGTGACTCCCGTTTGCCGGCAGTGAATCGCGCCACTCGTAAGAGGCATGCAGAGGTCTCTCGTCCTCCACCTCTGTACCGCCGCCCGTTCAGATCTCCCACGTCGTTCGTCGCCCACCAGCCATCAAGAATAGTTCATCAAGAGCTGTCGTCGTGAAGAAGTGAGAGGAGGAGAAGGAGATATGAGATTGAGAAGGAATCGAGATTGAGGAAAGAGATAGATAGGGATTGGGATTTGGGAAAGCGATAGATAGGAATTGGGTTTTGGGAGCGAGTTGTGAGGTCGTCGATTTTTTTTTCTCAGGTCAGTTTAAACGTTGTTGTTTTTTAGTTTATTTGAGTGTTCCGGTTTTTCCGGTTAAAACCGTATTGCATACAATCCGGTTTGGTTAAAACCGTGCACCAATTCAATCCCGTCTTCGGTCGTGTATATGTCCAATCCGGTTTCAAAAAATCGGGTCAATCCGGTCCGGTTTTAACCAAACCGGACCGTTTCCCACCCCTAATTTTAGGGGAAGAGCTTGAGCTCCAACCAGGCGAGGAATAAATTGTAGACATACGATTTCTACAGTGTATGTAAATTAGTTTCGGTTTTTAATATTTTTAATTATCGATTTGGGATTTTGGGATATAATATAATGAAAATCAAAATTAGGAGTATTTTAGGGTAAATGAAGGGTATTTAAGTCATTTCACAACCTCTTTAACGGCCACTTAATAGAAAAGTGGATGGAAGGGTAAATTCGTTAAGTATTAATTTTAGAAGGGTATATTTGTGCAAAAATTTAGTAGAGTGGTACGTTTGTTAACTTACCATAGTAGAGGGTATAAAATGCTATTAACACTTATTTTTATACTTCATAAAATAGACAATACAAGTCAATAACTTGTGTAGGATAAGACCAACTCCAATGCAAACCCCCAAATTTGGGGATCTTCATCCCCAAATTTGGGATTCATCCCCATTTTCCCTTCTTTTGCTCCAATGCTACATCCTCTATATTTGGAGATCTCCATTTTTAAGTTTTCCATTTACTTAAAAATGTACTTATCGAAGTCTTAATATAATTTGTTCATGTTACTTTTTGTATAGTTCGTCATCATTTTTAAATACAAATTTTCCGGTAGAAATTTTTTTAATTTTGAGACCAAATTTTTGTTGACAAAAAATGATTGACTTAATTAGGGTTTACACACAACACATGAAAATTATTGATCTAATTAACCCCTAAGTAATCCCCTAATTAAACCCCAATTAACCCTTAAAATCTTAAAAAGAAAAAGAAACGCCACGTGGCGGACTTTGGGGAGTCTCTATATTTGGGGGAATCCCCATTTCCACCCCCAAATTTGGGGATCCTTTTGGAGATCACCCCCAAATATAGAGACTCCTACATTTATAGAGGCTCCATTGGAGCCAACTTTCCCCCAAATATAGAGGCTCCCCCATTTATAGAGGCTCCATTGGAATTAGCCTAAAACAAAAAACTTGTGTAGGGTGTAAAAAAAAATTTGTGTAGGGTAAAATAACTCGGGTACCACTTAAGTGTGAATAGGGCGTCGGGTACTATTAAAATCGTCAAAATGTGCATCCGTCTACTTTTCCATCCAACCCAAAATTTCAATTACTTTTTGATACCCACAACTTTTAAAAACATCCAAAACTATATTTCAACAAGTTTTATCTAATATAATAATTAGAAAACGTTCTAAATATATTATTGCTAAAATGATTATTCAATTTTTTTAATAAAATAGATAAACTAGTAAAATAGTAAATAAATATCAAGAAGAATAATAAATATACTAGAATATAATAATAAATATTTAAAATTGATATTAGATTATCTATTTAAACCCCCTAATTCAATTAGAAGCACCATTAGAAATAATTAAAATAGAACCTAATCGATTATCAATACATCAAAATAAAAAAGGATAACTGGAACACAATAAGAAAGAATTAAACATATTCCACTAATTGAAAAAATTTAGAACGAAAAAGAAATAGAAATTAACCAAGTAATAAATAAAATCTAAAATCTACAACATTCATTAAAAAATATAGAAAATAAATATGACTATAAAAGCCGCAACATTGTTTGGTTACAACATGCATGGAAGAATTAAATTATTAGAACACATAATGGTAATTGAAAATAATTATAATGATAATTGATTCTAAATTTTCTATTCAAAAATTGGTTTGGTATCAAGTATTCAAAAGAGAATTCTAACAAACCAATAAAAATGATGTTTTTCATAGGTCCAAATGATTTTTTTACAATAAAAAAGTAGAAGGACCAATTATGAAATTTAGAAAACGGAATAATCAATATATTCTGTCAACTTTAACGGAATGCACTTAGGAGTAAACTTAAGTGGTACCGGGTGCGCATATAATAGAGTTCAGTGGTACCCGACGCTGACGCCCTATTTAAACTTAAGTGGTATGACGACACCAATTCTCAAACTTAAGTGGCACCCTAGGTATTTTACCCAACTTGTGTACTAACTTCTGTAAGTTAATAAATATATAATGTGTATATTAATGTTATGTGAATTTGATGTTCCAAATGAGGAATGGTTAACATTCTATTTAGTGGTAGGACTTCGAACCATACTACTGCCTATTTTAACGGGTGGTTTGTTTCATGGATTTGAAAAATGAGGATTTTGGTAAAACTTGGGGTTTGGAAAACCAAGGATATATGATGGATTTGGTAGCATTATAGATTTGAACAAGTCTATTGTTTGCTTGATGGATTTGATTATGGACTTTGTTTGAGTAGATTTGTAGATATTAAATACAAATTACCTTGTTACCATTATTTAATTATATTTCTATATTATAATCCAAATCTTTCATTTAAAACTAATCCAAAACATAGAAAGAAATTTTAAGCTCTTTACCACTATGTGGATTAATAATTCAACTACAAATATGGAAATGTATTACAATTTGGCACTAATTAACAATTCATCTAATAATGTACGCAATATTATGTATCAATTGCAACCAATTGTTCACTTTATTGCTACAACTCATGATCTTCTTGCTAACTCACCAATGTGGAATCCGACAATCAATCAAATAATAATGCACAAGATGAGCATAAAGTGTTTCTAGATGAATTTAACAAATCACATATACATATTTAAACAAAATACGATATTACAAAATGAAATGATAAATTATCATATTTATAAAATATGAAATCATAAAATTTTATAGTTTCATGAGCATTGAATTAAGTAGGACAAATTGGAAGTTAAAGAAATAATTAAGGATAAAAAGATAATTTATCATCATGAATTTTAATCCATCACCCAAATCCCACCTCAAGAAGGTGGAACTTCCAAGTTCGTGGGGTCCACGGATTTGGAACCCCAAAAGAGGTGGGTCTCACAAATTCCATCTTTCTAATTAAGACAAACGATGGATTTCAGTTGAAGTCCATGATGGATATATTTCCATGACCAAATCAATCACCAAAACCCACAAACAAACAACCATAAATATTTTTCCCTTAACAGTTATATCCAATTTTT